CGCCCGCCTCGGCCTCCCAGAGTGCTAGGATTACACACGTGAGCCACCGCGCCCGGCTAGTGGTTTTAATTATTGAAAAAAACAAAAAGAAGCTGTGGTGACTTGGCATCCTCAGAGCCCCTCGCCATGGTGGCACATCCCTGGCTCTCTGGGCACTCATCCCTGAGTTATACATTTCACGAAATCCCTGGCAAACCACCAGCAATTCATCCAAACAGCGACTCCTGGGATAAAAATAGCCAAGCAATTAATGTTCATGAATTATTAAGCAAACCCATGTAGTTGCTCCTTGTTTAAAATAGGCAGTTGAACATCTTAGGACAGAAGACTCTGCTTAGTCAGCTTTTCTTGTTAATTTCTTTCTCTATTTTTCCTTTGCCGGAGCGTTACAGAAGAACTGGCCCCTGGAGCCAACAGCGCCAGCCTGGTTTCCGGCAGTGCTGGCGGGCTGGTGGGCAGGGCACTCCCTGGCGCCCCTGTCCCCACTCACCCGCGGGCTCTGGGACATGGCAACAGAGGAGGAGCAGTATTTAAGAGAGAACACCTGAACAGGACCCCGTGGGGGTTGACCCCACCCACGGGGGTGGAGGGGCTCTCAGCTTGGCCCCTGGTGTGTCCTGAGTGGTCCCTCCTCCTGACCACCATCCAGGCCACGGCCAGTGGGCACCTTCTGCCAGGACTGGCCTGTGCAGGCCTGGGGCAGATGCACTGCTGGTCGGAGTGGAGCCAGGGCCAGGAAAGGCGGGTTCCACTACAGCCCCTGCTGCGGGCTGGGGGCACCTCTGCCAGAAGGTGCAGACACAGTGGGATACTCGGGCCGGAGTCCAGGTTGGAACGTGGCTGTTGGAGGTACAGAGGATGGTTCTATGCATGGCTACGGCTTGTATCAGGGACAGTGACCACCACCCCGAAACCTGGCCTAGGACTGGAGCCAGCTGTGTGGACAGGATGAGGTGTGGCTGCAGGTGGGGATCAGGGCCAGCCGGATGGGGCACGCTGAAGGTGGTGAGGCTTCCACGGCAGACCCTGGGGGTGCCAGGGCAACGCACAGTCCCTGGCAATGTCGAAAAGCAATTCCCTGGTGCTCTGCGGGCCGGGGGCTGCAGGGGAGGTGCAGACTGAGGGGCACCTGTGTGCACACAGGTGGAAAGGCCTCCCAGGGCTTGGGAAGTGGGTGTGATGACAGTTTCACTCCTGATCTTGTGAATGTCTTTATTTCCCATTTCACCATGAGCCAATATTGTTTCATGAAACCAGTGTACAGTAATCAACGCGAAAATTATTTTTAAACACCCATCAGGATCTCAACTCCGAAACTTGCTTTCAGACTCACGATGTGACAGCTGACCCCCCCCCATCCCCTGCTCCTGGGAGCTGCGGTGGCTGCTGTGTGCATCTGTCCATGCATAGCACTCAGAGGGTCTTGTAGCCATGACTTCTTAGACCTGCGGGTCTAACCGATGTCACAGGGACCGACCCTTCCACCTGCAGTCCCTGTTGTGTCCTTACTTATTTTTCAGTTGCCAAGCTGGAACATGAAACTCCGTTTTCTTCCCTTAAAACCAGAGCTATAAAAATTTGGCTGTAAAAATTTTAGCCACTTGGGAGGCTGAGGCAGGAGGCTCCCTTGAGCCCAGGAGTTGGAGGCTGCAGTGAGCCAGGCTGAGGCCACGGCACTGGAGCCCAGACGACAGAGTGAGACTCTGTCTCAAAAACAAAAAAAATTGACAATGTCTTTCCTAATTAAAAGAAATACTTGTTTGATTCATAATGCAAAAAACTAGTAAGACAGAAAAGCCCCCATTCCCCATCCCCCATCTCCTACCCACTCCCCCCGCAACAAACAAACACCATAAAACACAGGATGGAGCCGCTCAGAGTCCCACACACTGCTGCTGTTCAACCGGTGTCCTCAGATTCGTGTTTCCAGGAGCCCATGGCTGGCTGTGGGCGTTCTCAGGGAGGGGGACAGATGGCAGAGAAGGGACGACCCCACCCTCCGTCCTGGGCTCCTGGGCCTTGCTTGGTGCCAGCCATGCGGGACACTCACCTGCCGGCCCCGGTCCTGCCACTGGCCGGGCCTGATCAGGTGGCCGGGGGGCCAAGGCCGTCCCACAGGGCCCGGGGGACCTGCCTCCTGCCGCTGAGTGCTGTGGACGTGTGTCCTCGTGGGGCTCCTGCCTGTTTCCTAGGGACCTTCATCCCATGCGGGTGCAGCGAGGACTTGCTCATGTTGCATGGGGGTAAATTTTATACGTTAACGAGAGAAAAAACGTGGCTTTGCTGTGTCCATCCGAGACCGTCAACGTGCCCTTCTCTCGCAGGCTCATCCTGGCCGCCAACAGGGACGAGTTCTACAACAGACCCTCCAAGTCAGCTGACTTCTGGGGGAGCAACAACGAGATCCTCAGCGGTGAGTCTTCCCTCACGCCTGGCGGGTGGCTGCTCTGTGTGGCCTCGAGCGGCCCCTGGCGTAGTCCCGCAGTGGTCCCGACAGGGATGGCACCACGTCTCAGCACACACGTCTCAGCCCAGCACCAGCTCTCCATGCTGTGGGTCCCCGGAAGAAGTGTTAGTCCTCACGTGGGGTCCCCATCGTGCAGAGGGACCGGCTGGCTTTATTTGGACCCATCCTTTCACCGTGGGCACATGGATGGATTCATGTGAGGAACAGGTCGAGGTCCACACTCTTGTCACTTTGTGAAACAGCCCAGCGGTGTGTGTGTGCGGGTGTGCACACGTGTGTGTACATGCATTCGTGTTTCTGCTTGTGCACAAGCACCCTCGCCCCGGAGATGGCTGCCCTGAGTTTGGGCAGCAGAGGCTTGGGGTGGGCACATGCAGGTGGGGAGCTGGCGCTGACACCACCACGTGCGCTATGCCTGTGCTGCGAGGAGTCCTGCAGAGTGGACAGGGAGGGGCAGCCAGGTCCCCTTCCCTCCCAGACACCAGCCTCAGTGAGGTCCTGGTGGACAGGAAGCAGTTCCTGCCCATGTGGCTGGCCAGGCCAGGGGTCCTCTGCCTGTGGGCCAGGCACCAGGTAGGCCCAGGGTAGCCTGGCATTGCTGATGGGGGTGCCCCAGGGAGCCTGCCCGGGCCAGGCTTGTGGCCTCTCGGACCCAGGATGCTGTGTGTACCCCGTGCCTCCCAGGCCCCCAGTGGTGGTCTATAACAGCTCAGCTGTGGGATTTCGACAGGGGGACTTCCGGGTAGCCCAGCAGTGGTGTGAGGATGGTGCTGCTGAGGCTGGCCGGCCCTGGCACCGCGGAGGAGGACGAAAGCGGGGAGACCAAGGCAGGAGGGGCCAGAGGCCTGGCAGCATCTGGGGTGGCATCCGGGGTGGCTGGGTGTGAGGGGTGAGGGATCTGGGTCTCGGCCTCATTGGAACCGCGCAGGAGACCCTGGAGATGCCTAGATGTGCAGCACGAGACCCCCACTGCCCCAGCTGTGGGCGTGGCTGTGCAGGGGGCCGCAGTGGCGCCTCCGTCCAGAGGTGAAGTCCTGTAACCCCACAGGGTGTTGTGGGGGGCCCTCAGCTGGGCTGCCAATGACTCTCCCAGAGGTGGGGGCTGTGGAGGGCCTGTAGGCGCATCCAGGAAAGTTTCCAGCCATCCCCGGCATGGCGGACAGCATAGGGGACAGGGCAGGTGGTGTGTTGCTGCCGCAGGGCATGCTGGTGCAGGAGGCGATGGCGAGGCCCAGGGGCTGATGTCCCCAGGGAGTGGGGGGCTTGCAGAGGAGGACGTGGAGGCTCAGACAGAGGGTTACCCTGGCCCGGCTCCTTGGCCATCGTGGCTGCTTGGGCCTGTCCCTTTCCCTGGCTCCCGGGCCTGTGCACCTGAATGGGTGCCAACCCCAGCCGGAGAGCTCCAGCCTCATGGCACTATTCACCCTCGTGTTCTTTGGTGGCAGCTGGTACACCAGCGCATGCTGGCTCCCACCCAGTGGCAGTGCCACTAAGGTCCCCATTCCCTCGCTGTCTGGCATTGCCAACTTGTGCACGAAAGTTTAGACCAGAAGTTCTCCAGGTATGGTGCTTGGGCCACTAACATCAGCATTACTGGAGAACTTGTTAGAAATGTACATCATCACATTCGTAAAAATTTGGCTATTCTTCAAGTAGTTTTTTTTTCTTTTCTTTTCTTTTTTCTTTTTTTGGGACAGTGTCATTTGCCAAATGCATTTGTTCTGTCTCCTGCTGTCTCTCTTCAGTCTCTCTCTCCCCCCCTCTTAGTTCACTCGAGGTCGTCCCACCCTGGACGAGGCCCCATCTGCTTTTCCCAGTGTCGCCTGAACCCTGAGGCCTTCCAGGCTGGCCTCTGGAAACAGGCAGTGTCCCTTGCCCTATGTGGGTGCTGAAGGCTCTCTCCCTGGCCCCGGTGGTTTCCTCACGCACACGTGCTGGTCAGATCTCAGGGTGCCCTGTGCAGCTTGCCCCTCTCTGGTCTTCTGTGCTGTCGTCTGAATGCATCTGTGTTGCTAGAGAGGAATAGCTGAGACTGAGTTGTTTGTACAGGAGAGAGGTTTATCCGGCTTAGGGTTCCAAGGGCTGTGCCAGAAGCTCGCACCTGCACCTGTTTCTGGGGAGGGCCTTGGGCTGCTCCTGCTTAGGGCGGAAGGAAAAGGGAAACGTGTGTGCAGAGATCACGCGGCAAGAGAGGAAGGGAGCGGGGAAGATGGAGGGACCCGGCTCTTGTTAACAACCGGTCTCTAGGGACTGACAGAGTGAGACTCACTCACCACCAAGCCATTCGCGAGGGATCCGCCCCGTGACCCAAACACCTCCCTTTAGGCCCAACACTGGGGACCAAATTTCAACAGGAGGTGTGGGGGACAAACATCACACTGTGGCAGCCGTGGACTCTGGCTGCCTCAGTCTCCCCACGCCCGTAGTCCCTTTCTTCAGCTCAGGGAGTCTGTTGAGCTCTGCCTGGGCCCCTGTGCGGGGTCCTGGAGGCTCCCCACCTATGGGGCTCAACTTGCTTCCCACCTCTCAGGTCCTAACCTAAAACCCATTGTTTCATGTGTTTCATTTTATTTTATTTTTTTGGTTATTTTAAGTGGGAAGGCAAATCTGGTCCCCGTTGCTTGACCAGATACGGAAGTTTCATTCATTTTTTAATTATCAATTTGTAGAAGTTCTTTATAAATTCTGGACATGGGTTTTTTGTTGGATAAATGTATTTGCCTACTCATTTCTTTAACAGTATCTTTTGGCGAGCAGAATGTTTTATTTTAACAAAATGCCATACATTTATAACTATTCTTGTATGGTCTGTTCTTTTTGTGTCTTATCCAAAATGTCTTTGCCTGCCCTAAGGTCATGACGCTATCTTTCTCTGCCTCTAGAAGCTGGATTTTGGATTTTATGTTTTGGTCTCTGAGTTGTCTCACATTAATTTTTGTCCATGGTGTGAGGCAGGGGTTGAGATTCGTCCCTCCCCTCTGCTCCTGCCCCGCCCATCTCTCTGGTCGCCCCAGCATCATTTATGAAATGAATATCCTCATGCCTGCTGCACCGTGTTGGCAACTTGCTTTAAATCAGCTGACGACACATGTGTGGGTCTGTTCAGGACTCTCGTGTCCCATTGATCTGTGTGTCTGTCTTGATGCCAGCTGGCACCACACTGGCTTTGTTACTGCTGCGGGTTGGCAAGTTGTGAAATCAGGCAGTGTGAGTCTTCCAGCTCTGCTCTTTTTCGGGACTGTTTCAGCCATCCTCGCTCCTTCGCATGTGCACATATATTTTAGAGTCAGCCTGTTACTCTCTGTAAAACAAAAAGCCTGCTGGGATGTGGATTGGGATGGTCTTGAATCCACGGGTGATTTGAGGAGCAGTGTCGTCACCTTAGCAATACTGAGCCTTCCAGTCAGCAAACACGCACATCTGTACTTAAACCCGGTT